AACAAAAAAATAAAGCCAATGCAAAGACCATCACAGCTGGTCAAGACAAATGAATATAATGGTTTGCTACTATTTATAAATGATTTTTAATGATTCAATTGTTTTTCAAGATCCCAATAAATAATGGCAGGAGGACATTCTCATATATTTTGGGATAACTGAAAACACATTGAGAAGCATCACCATACAAGGATATTTTTCTCCTCAAAACCTAAAATATTTGAATTACTCACTTGCCACCTACTATACCTGTGATCCTCAAGTTAAAGGTGAAATTAAGTTAATTTCACTATTCACTATGATCAATGAGAAAAAGCTTGTTAGTTGCTGTATTAATCACTAGAAAAGAGACAACATTTCAGAAATACTTAAACAAAATAAACCATTATCAGAAAATGACTTTTTTCCCCATCAAAAATTCACAATAACAAGAAAATACATCTGTACTGTTGAGTGATACATTGTCCTTTTTCTTTCATTTTTTTTTTAACACAGTGAGTAAAAAGCAGTAGACAAAAATCAACCTGTCAAGAAATGGTTTACTCAGTAATGGACTAGCCCTGCAGGGGATTCGTCCGCTTGCACCAGCAGAGCCCTCTGTTTAACAAGAATGAACCATTAAGGGTTTAATGACACTGCAATAGCATATTACAACACCAAAAAAAGAAATGAGGATTCTTTTCACCAACTTGCTACTCTTTCTAGCACAGCCACCACAAGATCCACCACCTACACAATCCTCCAATGGGCAGCTGGTTGGGAGAGGGGTTTTCCCGACTTTCGCCCTGCCTTCAACTCCGCTTTTCCTTATTGACTATAAGATCTTGAAGAACGCAGCTTTGGTCAGAAATAACCAGAAATCATCTACTATGCCCAAAAGGGACAAGTCAGTCTCAGAAAGGGAACCAGATTTGTTCATGGAATCCTCCTGCACACATAGCATCTCAAACAGCTGGGGGAAGACTGAATTTGGCCACCAACTGCAGTGGATTTGTCTACTTGGTGGAGCTGCTGTTTCTCTACTCTCTTGGTTGCCCACTTGTCTGCACAAGGCGTGATGTTCTGTGGTTGGCACCTGCTGATAAGGGTAATTATAGCATTAGTAGAAGAAAGCATGCCTTCTAAGGTTGAAAAACAACTCTAATTACAATTCTATCATTTTACTCCCTCAAAACTGTTTCTTTTCTTTTTTTTTTTTTTCCTTCCTCCAAGCTTACTGAGAGATTAAATTAAATCTGCATCTATTTGAAAACAAGCCTTGAAATAGTTGCGGGACAAGAGGAGGAAATCACCTTTCAAAATTAAAACTATTACATGCTGAGTTGAACATGCGATATTTCTAACACCACACGGCACTTGCTGAATCACCTTTCAATAGGTTTCCATCTATTTTTGTATGCATAGAATTAAAACAAGTAATATGAATAATAAGACCAATACTTCAAGGAGAAATATGAAATCCAGAAAGTATAGGATAGAGGCAAGGAAGTTTTAAGTTACTTGTATGCCTACTGACCAATTTAACAGTGGCATTATATAAAATATTAATATCCAGAAACAAGTTGATATGTAAAATGCAAATATATAACTTTTATATTGCTAGAGCTATAAAACTGATATAAAATTATTTTATGTTTACCAAAAAAACCCATTGTTTTTATATTTAAAAAATAATCTATGACTCACTTTCAGAGAGGAACAAAGTCCAAGGAATGAATATGATTAAATTCTACTTTATTCCATCAGAATTTTACAATTTGGGGTGTAATTTGATATTGATTGTAGATTACTAGATTCTAACTGTGCATTATCAACCAAAACCTTAAAAATAAAGGGAAAGAAGAGTGTTCCTTGAATTAGAAAAATGAACAAAACATCTTTCCAAATCAGCAAGGATTGATTTGTTAGACACATCCACTATTGTGGGCCAGAACTTGGAAACATGGCCTTTAAATACCACTATGAGGACCCAGAACAGCTGCCACTTCCTCTCACTCTTGCACAGAGTAGTGATGCTTCTGCCTGTGCTGGAATAGAAGCAGGCTCCAGAAAGCTGTGGCAAGGACGGCACCCACTGTCCTACTGTGGGCCTGCCCTAGTCCATAAAGAACATCAGGAGACCATTTTCTGAGTACTGAAGAGATTGCCAGAAAGGTGACTTTTTTATTTCTAATATTGGTATCAAAATCATGGGGCCAGTCCAATCTCTAAGAAAACCCCAACATACTTAGTGATAAGTAGATAGGAAATCTAATTACCAAGGTTGATTCAAACACACCTCCCCTACACTTCACACACAAAACCTCATGACTCAGATCAAGAATAAAACTATTTCGGGATCATCAAGAATACAGCAGCCCTCTCCTTGCTGAAGAAAATCTCCCCCATTATCTATGATGTATGCATGCTTTGTTGTTAGTGAAAATGAGATATAATGTAATCATTCCCACTGGGAACAGAGTCATGGATTGTCACTGTTCCCTGGGAATAACTTAACTGGAAGTGATTTTAAGACTCTAACTAAAGCAGAAAAGAGAGGAACAAAGGCCACATTAATAAAACAACTACATAATCATTTTACATTCTCAAAAGAAGAAAGAAGGAGCTAAGAATGCTCCCGTGTTCTACTATTGACTACATTTTTCCACATTTATCTATTTTGTCTTCAAAGAAAGGGGGAAAAAAACTTCTTATGATTTTTATCAGGATGAATGCCACAATATTTCTGAGTATAACACAAAATGAATAAGATCCAAAGTTACATCACAGTATATTGTATTTATTCACAAGAATAAATAAAAAGCATTAATCACATTAACTGCTTTAATCACTTCCTTTAACCCCTATAGTTTAAGCTATTTTTTTTTACATGGCATACAATGAAAGTTGAAAATACCACTAGCTCACCTTAAGAGGGAGAAAAAAAATCTTACCTTGAATATTAAAAACTTTTATAAGCATGGCTGCTTTAAGCATTCTTATTTCCTCCCTCTTGTTTGCATAAGTTGGATGTATCACTTACAAATGAAGTAGAAAGTCTTTATTAACAATGAATGGAATCAAATATTGATTAAAAACCACCATCCCAACTCTAAAATTTACAAAACCTCATCATCTTTTTTTAAAAAAATTCTGATAGTTCAAATCATGTCCAGAAGCACTTATTAGGTTTTTAGAACAAAATCAACATCAACTTGCCACACAGGGTGAGAGTATGCACAGGCTTTTGCCATAACTGGTTTTTAACTGAATTACTGATGTTTCAATTAACAAGGACTACAGAGAAATATAGCACCATCATTGCCCTTGGTAAACAGGAGGACACAGTTACTTTTCCAGATGTCTTCTGTTGTCATGGTATCCTATTATGTCCTCTCTCTCTCTCTCTCTCTCTCTCTCTCATATTTTTATTCTAAGTTACAGACCTGTAAGTTATTTAAGCTAGCCTATAGTTATGTGAAGATTTTATATGTTCCTGATATAGCCTCTATACACACCTGTTGAACAGAATCAAAGAAGCAGTATAAAAAGTTATTTTGAATAATACTTTCTATTAAAGGGGGATGAAATTCTCCACATAATGGATGGAAACCAGAAGTCATCAGTTTTACATTTTCTACATAATTTATTTCAGAAAAACCTACCTTCAGAATAATATTCTCCTTTTTAAAATATTAAAATCTTAAAATTTAAATTTAAATTCTACTTTTATTTAAAAATAACACTTCAATGCCTGAAACAAAATTAATTGTATTTTCAGTGTACTCTATTCATCTTATATTTTAAAAAAACTTATGCACCACACTAAATATCAGAAAAATACTTCAAATGTAATGACATTTCTCTTAGTTTTTGTGAAGAAGCAAACAAAATAAACACACCAATAATTTTACGTGTTTATATTTCATTCTGTTGAAGTCATGTTTTAAACATCTTGGTTTTTAGAGATTGATTTTTATCCTTTAGTGATGATCTTTCAAAAACAGAAGGTAACATTTTTCATGCTATGAGATTCAATGTTTACGTACTCTTCTTTTTTTTTTAATGAATTCAGTTTCTCTTCTATACAGTACAATATCTGCTGTCAACTCCTCTGGATATAAAACATAGGTACACACACACACACACACACACACACACACACACACACACACACACACGCTGATGTTCTTAATGATTTTTCTTAAGTTGAAGTGGTGTACCCTTGTTCCATAGGAGCAACAGGAGGGCTCTGCACTCTCTTCTGGAACAGAGTTCTCTCCCTCTAGACTAAAGAAAAACATAGTATTCAAACACTAAAAATGCATAGGCAGCTAAAGTTTTTGTCAACTGTACTTCTCTACACAAATACGATGCCTATATTAATTTCACTCGAGTGCTTTTATTGCACTAATTAGACACTGAAGAGGAGCTGATGCATGGGAAAACTGTTTTCTGAACGCTGTATATGTTAACAGTAGGATTATAAGCACCTGGGATATTCCTGCTATTCTCCGCATGCAAATAACATTCTGCAAACAATTAAACGCACCCATTAACATGGTGGGGGTGTGGGATGAAAAAGAGCAAGTGTTAAGAGAGTAAAAAATGACATGCCCTTCCTATTCCGCCCTCATTCAGCGGGTGCCGAGTATCTTCGAACATGCTGCACAGACAGACCCTGGGGACTACAGGAGTCACAACAACACAGTCGGCAAATATCTCGCACGCTCTGTTAATTGCAAAACTCTAATGATCTGACAGTGAGCCCCTCGCCTCTCGAACATTTTCCCCATTTTTGCAAAGACACTACAGACGTCAGGAGACCTTCCCCTGGCTGAAGAAAGGGAATTCGTTGCTTCTTGCCCCTCCTCACAGCCCCCAACACTTTCATTAGTAGCGGCTCCACAAACAAGTTCCTAGGCTCGAGCTCCTAAGGAGGCAAGTTCAGCACCATGGAAAGGGCTCGAGTCACACGCGGAGGTTGGAGGAGACCTAGGGGCTCTCCCGGGGCCACTCACCGGCGTCTGCTGCGACGGGAGTCCCGAGCGCTTGGTGGATCCCTGCTTGGAACTTAACCTTTTCCACGACTCAGCAAACCTGCCTCGACTGGCGCTCCGGCTGCGCCTGCGGCTCTCCGCGCTGTCATCGCGGTCCGAGCAGCCCCGCTCCATCTCCGCCGCATCCCTCCACTTCTTCCCCATGCTAAGTTCGCCTCGCTCCGCCGGGCAACACCCCGGCGCAGAGCTCTCTCTTCCTCCTCCCGCCGCCGAGTCTCTCTCCAGCCTGCGCGCAGCACTGTGTTGGCGCCGCCTTTGCCTCCGCCGGCTCCTGCCAGAACCCTGCGCTGGGTTACCGCCGCCGCCACCAGGCTGCGCTTGCGCCCGCGATTGGCTGAACTGTCGCCTGGGGTTGCGAGCGCCACCTGCGCCCGAGGCAGCTTCCTTTTGCGCTCCCAAATTGCTCTCCACCCGCAGGCGCCTCAGCCTTCTCTCGGGAACACAGGGCCCACGCCTGGGGCTATTGATGCGCCGCTAGGTAGCTACCTCCAGTCACCCCACCCCGCCCAGTCCAGTCTCCCAGGACCGGGAACCAATCACACCCCATCCCAAACTGCAGGTGCAAGCCTAAATTACCCATACCAGGACATTCCAGCAGACTTGGAGAAAGACAAGAAGCATGCAACTTTGTCTTCTTCCTTTTCTCTTTCTTCCCTTTCCCCTCTTTGCAGCACCAACTGTCTCCTAAGTATCCTTGGGGGAGCTTCATCTCCTTGTCAGACTCCACACTAATTCCTTCTCACACTTGCTGGGATTAGCCCACTGTTTCTCAAACTTGGCTGCACATTGGAATTACTTTTTTTTTTTTTTTTTAAGCTGATATTCTTCAGGGTCTAATTTAATTGGCCTGGCTGTGGCCTGGGACTCAGGATAGTTAAAATCTCCCCAGCTGATTCTAACCACAATTAAGCATCTTCAACAACTTATACGTACTATGAGGACAGGGCCAAGGATAGTGTTTGGAAGGGAAGAGAGGGTTGATACTTCTTAAACCAATGGATTTTTCTCTCCTGGGTAGGAGCAGGGTATTCAGTTTACCCTCTCACTCTCAAGGCAAGGGTGATACAGCAGTTAACGCCATGAGGATGATATGTGAGCGTCTGTGTGTTGAATATTCTCTGACACCGCCACCCCGTCCTCGGTTCACCTCTCGGTCTTCTGCTCATTAGAAGGAAATCCAGAAGTCTCTCATCAGTTTTGTGTCAGTTATTTCACCAGACTGAGCTATCCTGTGTTCAGGAATCTCCTTGATCAGATGAGAGAGAGCCACTGACGGTGTCACAAATTTACAAAGGCTAAAACAATGATCTTGCTCCTTATTAAAGGGAAAAAGACCTAAAATCCCTCCTGGTTGAAAAGAGCTTTCTGGTTGTTTATCTGTTGCAATGGCAACAGGTGTGTTTTCATTTCTTTCTGAAATGGAGCTTTCTCTCTCCAACCTGAATAAGGCCAGGCCCTTTCAGGAGGAAAAGGTGAAAAGGGATTAAGAGGGAAGGGGAGAGGGTGAGAAGTGCTATAGGAAAATCTGTGTTGTGGTGCCAGTTATGAACATCGTAATCTGAGTTGTCAGTGGCCAGTCTGATGAAGCAGAGGTTTCAGAATTGACTTGTTTTCACGAATGGAATATTGAGCTCTAAAATCCCACACCTGCATACCTGTGTATACGGCTACATTAATATTAATCCTGTCATTTTAAGCAAAGGGACTCACAGAGCACACTTCCTACCTTTTTAAGCAATCCTCTGTGTCCAGAAATCACACACCCATATTAAACAAAATGAAGCTCGAACCAGTGTTTACCACACACGATGCCATTTAATGAGAAAACCACAGGCTCCATTTTGCATTTCCTCGCTCCCTATCTAAGTTCATGGATTTGAAATTATTAGTGATATTTCATGGAAATATAATAATTCAGTCCAGATTTCTCCCATCGCAAAAATAAATCAAACTGATCATGCATAGTTTACAAATTAGCCAGGTATGAGAGCTAAATACCAATTAGGGAGTGGCAAAAAGTCAGCACATTATGACTTAAAGTAAATGTGTGCCTTTTCCTTCAGTTGTCAACAAAGGGGGATATAAGTGAAAACTCCCTAGGAGATGAAAAGCCTGTGTGCTAACCTGGATGCCTTGAAGGTTCATTCTTTAGGTATAATGATAAAAGCCCTGCAAAGGAGCTAAGAGGGGCTTTCACAGATGTATCGAGGCACATAATCCAACACTCACTTCACAGAGCCACAAGACCCTGGTTCACCCACATCAGCCCATTAAGGGGAAAATAACACTGCCATCAAATATCTGTCATGAATGATGGTACCAGGACATCCGTGAGTATTCAGAGCCCCTGGTGAGTTTTATAGACACATTTAGAAAAATTTAATGAGTAGTGATTGTATATGTAATTTTTGTACCTTTTTGGTCTAAAAATGAGTTTTCTATTGCCCTTTTGCAGAGCAGTGTTTTAAAGCATTGTTTGAACAGGACCTCAGTATTTCATTTTTGCACTTGACGACAACAACAAAAACATCTGGGAACTATACAAGAGGCTAAATTAGAGGTGATTACAGGCAAGCAAAATATTGACTTTTTCCTCTTCTGATGTTCATTTGTCTTTTTCCAAATTCTCTGATAGCTGGGAACTGGAAAACTAGGTTTGAAAATCTATCCTTCTTCTTAGAAGTTAGCAGAGAATGGCAATATCCAAGCTGAGAACACGTTTCAAAATCAGCAGCACTGAAATTCTGAAATTGGGCTAGCAGCCATTTCCAGAGCCACTTAACTTTACTAGAAGGGTCACTGCAGTTACAAAGGTGAATGTAAATACATCAGAAAGGTAACTGGGAAATATGACATAAACCTTTTGTTCTCTCCATGGTTTCTACGCATTAAAGAATGTGCATATTAAAACAAGATTAAGTGGGGGCACCTGGGTGGCTCAGTCCGTTAAGTGTCTGACTTCGGCTCAGGTCATGATCTCACAGTTCATGGGTTCAAGCCCTGCATCGGGCTCTGTGCTGACAGCTCAGAGCCTGGAGCCTGCTTTGGATTCTGTGTCTCCCTGTCTCTCTGCCCCTCCCCCACTCATGCTCGCTCTCGCGCTCTCTCTCTCTCTCTCTCTCTCAAAAACAAACATAAAAAAAATTTTTAAAAGAACAAGATTAAGGCAAAAATTATTTATATTGTTATAGAATAGATATTTCACATAAAATAAAAATTCAAATATATACATCTTTATGTATGAATCAATCAAATATCATGTTGTGAAATGTTCTGAAAAGTGAGCTTTATTAGTATTCCAAAAGAAATCTCAAGAAAATATTAAATCCCAACAGTCTTCCATTGGCCCTACACATTCTATGAACTTTCAATGATCCTCCCAGCCTGCCATGTGTTCGCTTGAGTGTACAATCAGAAGAAACCCTCTCCAAACCCCATTCACACTAAGTCACATGGTCATGAACTTTACTGCAAAAGAGTTAACAGGAAATATCTTTCCCTTTGGTTATTTCCAGAACACGTAAACCCAAAGGTGTACCCAGGGACTAAATAGATTCAAGCGAAGTGCAAGAAGGGAGGGAAAACATAGGGAAAGTGATAAATACCACAAAGCCTTATTTGTTTCAAAAATTCTACTCATAGAATAAGAGAATATGAACTATATTTCATCAATTTTAACACTCTCAATTTTTCACATCTTAAATATTGTCAAATCAGGATGCTTTCAATAATAGATGGTATCTTGGCTTTGGTCTAATACATTATACTGAATCAAAGAGATAAATAGTGAGTTAGATGCTTGTAAGTCTAACTTTAGCAAACCAACAAGCTGTCATTCATTCTTTGCCTAAACATTCAGACTTCGGTATTATATATGTTCTTTCTCATAAGCATTAAACAACTTTAAACATTAGGAAGCCCATCCTTAGAACTGAGCTGGCATCCATGCCTTCCACCTTTATTTTAAACTCTGGGGTCACACCAATTAAACTCTGGAGTCACACTAATTTAACACATGTACCCTTCCAAATGATAGTCATCAGGTATTTGAAGATCATGTGTACTATTCCCCTAGAATGTCTCTTCTCTTTTTTTTTTTCTTTTTTTCAA